AGTCATTAGGCCGGTACTATACCAGATCGTAGGTTTTTAGTTTCACACTTGACAAGGGCATCCAGTGTTTTGTTTATATTCGCACTTATATACATCTTGATGAGCTAGAAAAGGAATTTGCTCTCAACAGATGTCTTTCAGGTCGTGGAGCTCGTTTTAAAAGCGGTTTGTGGTGTAGAGGTTATTCAGGGGAGGGGGTTGTGTGTGCGCATTTTCGCTGCGCGCTTCCTGGAGTGGCAAGAAGGGGCGAGAAAAAGATGTAGGAGTTGACGGCGATTTTGGCGATAGGAAGCTTTTCTGCTTCCAAAAAAAGTAGGTGTTTTTGAACGTTTTCGTTCAGACGAAAGGTTCAGACGTACACTAACGCAAGAAAATAAATGTTGCAGAATGTAAAATTTTGTCACCGAGGAGCTTCGAGTCATCACCCTATTGATCGTTTTTCCCTGACCTTCCCAGCAGTGCGCAGCAAAAAAGAGTAACAGCTTTTATTGCTCCCACAAAACCTCAACAACCTGCAACAAACTTTGAAAATGGGCTCCACGGCCTGAAAGACCAGCCCCTCCCTGTCAGGGCCAAGAGATAGAGGAAGTTTTGTGAAGAATGTAAAGGGTGCGAGAGGGAGAACAGACCTTGTCGAGCTTTCAAATCTACCACTACTGCGTATGTCCTGTCCACTTACATTTTTGGGAAATCACTGCAACTAACAGATAACAAAGTTCCCATTCTGCTTTCCCCAGATGGGGCCATATTTCAACGCTTCCTGATGAGTCTGGTTTCAAGCTGAACTTAATGAGTGATTTCAGATAAATAATCGAAGTAGCTGGTACTCGCCGTGAGTGAAAGTGTCGAAGATGGCTCCACATTATGAGGATTCATCCTAGGCAGTGGCACGATGTCAAGGTAGGACAAGGTTTCATCGTTTTTTTTCTCAGGATCCTTGCTGATTTCTAAGTTTTGAAACGAATGCAGCATTTTAGGTGTACGCCGTTGGTCCATACTATGCTCATGCTGAAGCTCGGAAAGCACCTGGCCTTGACGGAAAAGTTGAGCGAGATGCGGATGGAAAAGAAGTTCGTTATCCGGTGATACTCAGCCACAAGGAGAAGATGATCGCTCGACGAGTTGTATTGGCCTTTGGTGTAAGTTTGATTGTCTTTTGTTCTCGGGAAAACCAGAAGGTGTTTAAGCAAGCACTTCACTCTTCGAAAGGAGTCCCCTGGGATCGAGTGGTCGCTCCAATATTTTACAGGGGATCTTCCACAACAGAACCACCAATAATTGTGGATAGCCCTTGTTGTGGATTTTCTTACTCCTTCTTTTCCTTTTCAGCCTCAGGGGCTCAATTAGTACGGAATGCAGTGGGATGGTTCTTGTCTGTTGATTAATAGCATGCAAACAACACTGTCATCACGGCCTCAAAGGCAGACTTCGCGATGAGCCAGCGAAATGTTAGTGGGTAACGGGACCTGAAACAGAAGTGTATGTGCCAGTTGTCTTTCCAGTGAAGAAAAAAGGAGAGGAACTTCAAAAACGCTCTAAATGAAGCAGTACTGGTGCCAGGCAAGGGACAAGACTCAATGTGGATATCGGGCGAGACGCCAGACAAAGCATCGAGAGGGCATGCAGACGAGCAAGGCAGCAGATAAGACATCTGTCCACTTGGGCGGAGTTCGTGCCTTACAGCAACTACCCGCCACTTTTTGACGTGAAATTTGTACAGGGTTGTTCGATGGCTCCACACTACCCCTCCTTACCGGAATTTTCAGATGATTGTAAGTGGATGTGGAAGGCTCTGCCTTAAATGGTAATATGCGTGCTAAACAAGAACATTGTAGGCAAAGTGGTATATGACGTCCTTCTTTCACATGGATGGCTACAATTATTAACGTACCCATTTCCAGCAAACCGTGTGTGGGTTCGATCTCTTGCGAGCAAATGGGAAGTCATATGTGTGTGACGTCAATGGTTTTTCGTTTGTGAAGACATCAACCAAGTATTATGAGGTGAATATCAAATTTATTACATTTTCCATCAGAAGCTGATTTATGGGCACCAGCCTTGACCTAGAACCAACGCCTCACGCTTTCCAAATGAGTGCATAATTCGTTACCCTAAACATTACGTCTTTTGATGATTATCACCGGGTAACTTGAGGTGAATCTTCTCTTAAGGACACAGCCAAAATCCTCGGTAACACGATCATGCGTCGACTAGCGACAACGATGAGTGTACGGATACCCTACCAGATGCCGCTTGGTGAGCAGGAACGCTCCAGACCGTGCTCCGACGACTAGGGTCTGGGAGGTGAGCGTTTTGACTATGATTTCTCGTCTCTTCATCTTTCATAAGGAGGAGTCCTTGACTTTAACAGTCAGTAATTTACACCATTTTTAGTTTAAATCGGTTACTTTACAGATAAATAGATAAATTTGAGCAGTGCTCATAGCAGTTATTCCTTTTTGGAAATGGAGTAGTACT